CGCAGTGTATATGCGTGCTGGTGTGCATCTACGCTGTGCATATGCGTGCTGCTGTGTATTTACGCTGTGTGTATATGCGTGCTGTTGTGTATTTACACTGTGTAGTATGTTCTGCTGGCGTTGTGTATTTACGTTGTGTATTATGTTTTACTAACGTTGTGTATTTACGTTGTGTTCTACGTACGGTTAAGATTTTCGTTTGATGGGTTTGTGATCACCATCCTGCGGCGTGCTTGAGATCGGTGCAAGATCAGTGGCGGCATCGGATCGGGCAGCTGGATCGGAACGACATGTGCGTCGGATTGGGCTGTATCTGCCTGGGGTCGAAATCGAATCAGATCGACTGCGCCAGGATGCGCAAGAGTTCCTCTCAAGCATCGGGTCGCATCGGATGGTCGGAATATCGAAATCGACTCGAGTCAGACCGGCCACAGAGAGGCCAGTGTCGACATCGAATCGGATCGATCGGATCGCGCGCTTTAGCCGAAGTGACTGCGGAAGGGGGAGGGAGGGAGGAGGAGGAGAAGCAGAAGGAGGAGCAAGAGGAGGAAGAGGAGGAGGAGAAGGAGGAGGAGGAGGAGGGGGAGGGGAGGGGAAGACGGAGGAGAAGGAGAAGGAGGAGGAGGAGGAGAATAGGGGTGCTTGTTGACTGCAGGATTTCGCGCTGCATGTGCATGCGCTGGTGGGCCCCAAGGTGCACCAAAGAAGCAACAGAGCAGCCCGACCGAGAGTGCAGCGAGGGAGACCTCGCCCTGTCAATCGCCGGTGGGACGGGCTATCATAAACAGAACTGTGCTCGGCTGGCGGGAAGAGGGGGGAATCGTAATATTCGAGGCCTGGAAATGGAAAACAACACCAAAACAGGGGGGTGCCTCCACAGAAGTAAGAAGATGATCCTGGATGTTGGTGTTGGTGGTAATGGTTCGGCCACATAGAAAGCCTGAATCTTCCCACCATCACTGACATCGGAAGCATCTTCCCTCGGTGAAGGCACACCGCCGATCTTGGTGTTGGTGTCAACCTCTAGGTCTCCGGTAAGAAGATTGAGGCCCGCCAAGTACCTGACGCATCGCTCGAGCAGGCATCGCACCACCTCGGGGACGGTCAAGCTTTAGTTCCTGAGCCTCTGGTCAGTTGCCCTTCGGTGGAGGGCGGCTGCAAAGGTTGCAGGCAGCACCGTGCACAGGACCCAGGGACGAGTCCGCACCCATCGTCGCAGGTAGGGGCCCGTCCACAAGAACCCTTTCACGAGAAACCCAACCCTGAGACCCCAGGACGTCCATTGATCTTTGGTGTGGGAGCGTCACGCTGTCCATAGCAAAACCATCGAACACCAAGAAACCCTGGAGGCGAGAAGGGTCTCCACCTCTGCAAGAGGGAGGGCCCACATGGCAATGCAGAGCCCGGCTGCGCGCCCGCTCTGCTGGGCATTGACAACGATGTGCCTGCGTGCCTTCTTGCGCTCCAGGTCGAAGAGCAGGGTCCTGCCATGCTGTTGGCCGTCAGCCAGCTGCCACAGTGTGGAAGAGCTGCGCAGCCATTCTTCTGAACGTAAAATGGCCTACTCATGCCGAGGGCCGGAGAGCCTTGCATCTAGGAGGATGACCGGGAGAAGAGAGAGAGAGAGAGCACGCGCGACGATACCTAAGGGAGGGGGCGTACTATGCACAGGCTGAGAGACCAGGCACTGCGCAGACCATGGAGACGGGGTCAAGCGCTGCGATGGGTCCACACCCAGGACCCACGTCACGGGATGGGGGAAGCACCGCGAGAAAATCCGCCGACTCTGTCGGCGTGAGGGGGTCCCCGTGTGGTCGCCCCCGCACGACATGACCCAAGCGCGGTGGCAGGATAGGCCGAAGGTCACAAGATCTTCGCCCTCCCATGGAAAATGTCACCGTCCCTTTCCTCCGCCCCCCTTCGGCCTCTTGCGCCCAAGCTAGCTCCCCCTAGGGGACGACGATGACGAAGACGACGACGACGACGCTGACGCCGAGGCCGACGACGACAACGGCGGCGGCGGCGACGACGAAAACGACGACGACTACGACGAAGACGACAACGATGCCGACGCGGACGCCGAGGCCGACGACGACAACGGCGGAGACGACGACGACCGCGGCGGCTGGAGGCGGTGCTCATGCAAGAGCCGGCGGCCTCCTGGCCCGCGCCGCCGCAGGCCGCCCGCGGGCCCGCCTGCTCGCCTGTCGGGCGACGGGCGTCGACGGGGAGCGGCCCGCGGCGACGGCGACGGCGATCACGACGACGGCGGCGGCGCCGAGCGACGACGCCGACGGCACGGCGACGGCGGCGACGACGGCGCGGGAGCGACGACGGCGACGGGGGCGCCAGGGAAGCAGGAGTGCCGCCACCTCCACCTGTTGCTCCTCCTCATCCTCGCCGTCCTCCTCACTCTCCTCGTCCTCCTCCTCCTCGTCCTCCTCCTCACCCTTCTCCACGTCCTCATCTTTCTCGTCGTCTTCCTTGTCGTCCACCCCTTACCCCAGGATGCGACCGCTGCAGGCCGGGCGCTCACATGCACGCATTGGGCGCGCTTTACTCCCAATTGACGCCCTCGTCCTCTTCCCTCCTCCTCTTTCAACTCCTTCCTCCTCCTTCTCCTCTTCCCTCTCCCTCATCCTCGTCCTCCTCCCCTCCTGCCACTCCTCCTCCTCCTCCTCCTTCTCCTCCTCCTCCTCCTCCTCCCTTTCCTCCTCCTCCTCCTCTTCCTCCTCCTCCTCATCATCATCCTCCTTCTCCTGCTCCTCCTCCTCCTCCTTCCCCTCCTCCTCCTCCTCCTCCTCCTCCTCCTCCTCCTCCTCCCTCCTCCTCCTTCCTCCTCTTCCCTCTTCCCTCTCCCTCATCCTCCTCGTCCTCCTCCCCTCCTCCCCTCCTCTCCTCCTCCTCCTCCTCCTCCTCCTCCTCCTCCTCCTCCTCCTCCTCCTCCTCCTGTTCCTCCTCCTCCTCCTCCTCCTCCTCATCATCATCATCCTTCTCCTTTCCTCCTCCTCCTTCCCCTCCTCCTCCTCCTTCTCCTCATCCTTCTCCTCCTCCTCCTTCTTCCTCCTTCTTCTCCTCCTCCTCGCCCTTCTCCTTCTCCTCCTCCTCCTCCTCCTCCTCCTCCTCCTCCTCCTCCCCTCCTCCTTCTCCTGCTCCTAATGCTTCTCCTCCTCCTCATCCTTCTTCTTCGTCATATTATTATTAGTATTATTAATATCCTAAGCTTCCATTTCTTACTAGTACTAGTCATATTAGAATTACTGTTAGTACTAGTAGTAGCAGTATTGGTATTATTATTACTATTTCTAGTAGTGAAATAATCATGATCATTATTAGTATCATCATTATTGTTATTAGTATTATTATTCTTCTTCTTCTTACTATTATTATTATTATTATGACTGTTATTATTATTCGTGGTATTATTATTATGTCTCGATGTATTATTGGCAGTAGTAGTATTCGCGATACTAATATTATTGTTCGGATTCGTCGTGTTGCTCGTCTTCGTCCTCCTCCACCATCTCCTCCTTCCTCCTCCTCCTCATGGTCATACTCCAACTCCTCCTTCCTCCTCCTCCTCCTCTTCCTCCTCCTCCTCCTTCCTCCTCCTCCTCCTCCTCCTCCTCCTCCTCCTCCTCCTCTCCCTCCCTACCTCCTCCTCCTCCCTACCTCCTCCTCCTCCTCCTCTTCCTCCTCCTCCTTCTCCTCCTCCCCCTCCCTCCTCCTCCTCCTTCTCCTCCTCCTCCTCCAACTCCTCCTTCCTCTTCCTTCTCCTCCTTCTCCTCCTCCTCCTCCACCTCCTCCACCTCCAACTCCTCCTTCCTCGTCCTTCTCCCCATTATCATCCTTATCCTCCTCCTCCTCCTCCTCCTCCTCCTCCTCCTCCTCCTCCTCCTCCTCCTCCTCCTCTTCCTCCTCCTCTCCTCCCCCTCCTCCTTCTCCTCCTCCTCCTCCTCCACCTCCTCCTGCTCCTCCTCCTCCCCAATCCTTTTCCTCCTCCTCCTCCTCCTCCTCCTCCTCCTCCTCCCTCTACTCCTCCTCCTGCTGCTCCTCCTGCTCCTCTCCCTCCTCCTCCCTTCTCCTCTTCCTCCTCCTCTTCTTCTTATTAATATCATTAGTACCGTTCTTCCGAAACTTCGTATCCATAGTCATGGGTAATAGTACTCGCCTGCTTCTTATACTGATTGCGTATATTCGTAGTAGTGCTCGCATTCGTATCAGTATCCTCACCTCATCATTCTCCTCCTCCTCCTCCTTCTTCGTCTTGGTTTATTCGTAGTCGTAGTAGTACTCATAATACGGTTTCTAGTAGTATTACTGTGAGTAATAGTACACTTAATATGGTTAGTACTCTTACAGTCATTATGATTGTTAGTATGACGATTGGTAATATTATTATTCGGAATAGTATTCAAAGTATTAGTATTACGGTTATCCGTATGATTGTTCGTCTTCGTCTTCTGGTTCGTCTTCCTCCTCCCCTTCCTCCTCCTCCTCCCCTCCTCCTCCTCTTCCTTCGTCTCCTCCTCCTTCTCCTGCTCCTCCTCTTCCTCATTATACTCCCTCCTCCTCCTCCTCCTCCTCCTCCTCCTTTCCTCTCCTCTCCTCCTCCTCCCCCTCCTCTTCCTCCTCCTCCTCCTCCTCTCCTCCTCCTCCTCCTCCTTCTCCTCCTCCTCCTCCTCCTCCTCCCCTCCCCTCCTCCTCCTCCTCCTCCTTCTTCCTCTCCTCCTCCTCCTCCTCCTCCTCCTCCTTTTTCGCCTCCTCCTCCTCCTCCTCCTTCTCCTGCTCCTCCTCTTCCTCATTATACTCCCTCCCCCTCCTCCTCCTCCTCCTCCCCCTCCTCCTCCTCCTCCTCCTCCTCCTCCTCCTCCTCCTCCTGCTCCTCCTCCTCCTTCTCGTTGTTCTCCTCCTCCCGCCTCCTCCCTCCTCCCTTCTGCTCCCTTCTCCTCCGATGGGGCGCTCAGATACAGGTGCCGCCGCACCCCCCATCAACAAAA